AAACTCTACTTGCACTCATATAAAAAAAAATAAATTAATAGCGGTTGAAGTTTAATCTCGTACGATTCGAGAAAGCGTGAGATTCATTGATTTGGCGGGTTAAGAATTCGCACGCCAAACAGTGCCAATTGGAGTGCCCCAGAGTTAGTCAAAGTGGAATATCGCTTTCGGGATATGCGTATATCTCTACCATTTGATGCCCTGGTCAGTAAGAAAACAATCAATATGTGCTTTTATATTTATTAACAAACGTAACAATGAAAAATTAATAATTAGACTGAAAACAAAACAACAAAATATGAGAAATAGGAGCTTTCAAGAAGTGCTCATTCGGGCATGAGTGTATCGAGAACAACTAACATAAAATATAATTTGATTGGCGACGAATTGACGCCGCCAAAAAGAATTAATTCGTAGCACAGTAACCACCAACTGATGTTCTTAACTTCATCTTACGTTTGCATTTTCGATCGCAACTCGCCTATTTTAAAGTCTTAGTCTTAAGTGGCTCAATAATATAGATCTACAGCAAAACTGTTACCCAGACCCTTTACGATTCGGAAAGGATTAACTGGAAAAAGCCTATGCTATTTCGCTTTTTATGATAGATTGATTTTAAATAAATTTTCCTTAAATTATTTCAATTTTTAATCATACGCAATTTTTAATAAAACATTTAAAATAATTGCATTTGTATAAAGTAAATCGTCTAAAAAAACCGATTTCATTAATTTATCGTAGTTTTTTAAATTTCTAAATTTTTAATTTTTAAACTTTTTGTTGAAAGTTAATTTTTTTTAAGATAATATTTTTTATTTAAATTACTAAGCTTTAAATTTTTACCATTGATAATTTCTTATTTAAAAATTCAATTTCGGATTTTTGCAGAAGAAGAATTGTATAATTATTGCTATCTTTGTCTATGGAAATAATAACAAAGTTCTCTTGAAGTTGTTTATTTGCTAAGTCAGAAAAATATGTTGAGTTGCTATCGTTATTTAAAATTATAAAAAATGAAGTAAAGTAAATAACTTTTTAAATAATAGAGTTTTTAAAGCAATAAGAAACAGCCAATTTCCATTATGTTAATATACTTAAAAGTAAAGAAAATTTATTTGAGATCTTTAGACAAAAATTTTTGAGATTATTAATAAAGTTCTCTAGAAATTTATAAAATCGTTTCAAAATCGGTAATAAATAATCTAACATTCTAAATAATCAAACATTAGAATAGTTGTTTACGTAAAATTTAATTTCTCGAGAACTATTTGATCGACCTCATCAAAAGTTTGGATTTTGCCATTTAAAATTACTTTCTTTAAAATTATGTGATAATTTGTAAGCCCCATGATACAAAAACTGTTTCGACTGTTATTAAACAAAATGATAAAATAAAGCTAATTAAAGAAGATTTTTTACAAAGAATAATCTTTGGACTAATAATTTGGAGCTTTATAACTGTGTGGTAAAATATTCCGATTTGCTTATAATGTTCTGGTGATATTGTAAAATACGAAAAAATTAAAAACAATATAAAGGGATTTTAAATTTCATCTGCTCAAATTTTGACCACTCCTTATGTTTTGAAGGTCAAGAATTCAAATCCGTTTATAAGAGTGATATCGTAGAGTGAAAAGTCTGTTCAACTGACTTCACATATCAGGTGACGGGTGAGTTGCCGAGACTTGTTTAGCTTCTAATGGGTCTTTGAAATATTTACAGATGTGGAAAGTTCTCTCTTCAAAATCTTTGAAGTCCCAAAATTCAAATCCGTTGAGTAAAAGGCACGCTCATTCAGAGAAGGTACGTTTTTGTGTTCGTTTCTGTAACTTAATTAATGATAAGCAATAATAAATTTTCATGTTTGAAGTCCCTATAAGACTATAATCATTAAAATTGGTACTTCGTTTGTGAAAATCTGATCATTGTAACGGAAGTTATTTAAGGTGATATCTTTTTTTAATTTGCGCATTGGAACTCAAACCTTTTAAACTGACCTCTTGGAGAATTTTTTTTCCGCATTAATATCATATAAAAAATGCATATAAAATGTTTGAATCTTTAAGGTTGAATATATTTTTATTTTATTTTTTATAACTGTCGTTGAACAGCCGACTCAAATTTGAGTTTACGACTACCAATGTTCAACACCTTAGCCTTGTAATTTTGAACCCAGGCCTAACTCACGGAATCCAGTTACAACGCGTCTAAGAGTATTCGATTGAAATAATTCGGAAAGGAGAAACATCCCGAAAGCAGTTTCCGTGAAGGAAGCCTTTTTGAAAGGCACATAATAATGTTTAGTGGTAACTATGTGATACTGACGTCACGCGTCACGTGATGAGCTAGTTGCTTTTATTTCGAGGACCACCTAATTAATTCCATGTGCTGGCTACATGTTACACCAGTAAAAAAGCAGGTGATAATTATGTGATATTTTCAAAAACATCTCTCCCGCACCGTTTCTAGACGTCTCACGAGAATTAATAAGCAGAAATGGGATTAAATGGTGGCAAGAAATGAAAATAAATACATTTTGGATTTCATTTAAATGAAAAGTATAGTTAATTCGGTGACGAATCTCTGGATTACGAAATAATACGAACATCCAAGGGATTTTATTAAAAGAGGATTTTATCTTAATTATTTAAAAAATTTTTAATTTAATTCTTATATGAACTATTCAATATTTTTGTTTTTAAATATAAGTTTTACTATGTCTTATAATCAAATCGAACAGATAAAAAAATTAATTAATAAGTAACTTAAGAATCGAAAAAGAGTAAAATTCTCCAGAACTCTATGGAAAACCAGAATATCACAACATATAGTATCACGCATTAACAATATCAAATGAACAGGTATCAGGTGTCAGCAAGTTATATTAAAAGCAGAAATTTTCCAGTGAGGGGTATGACTCACAGGACCCAACTTAGCCTAATTGGAGTCTGGTGCAAAAACTTTTCTTGGGGCCCTCCTCTGCTTCACTACTTTAATAATGAGAAACCAAACTTTATGGAGGTATTTAAATTTTCTCCTCATTATAGATATATAACTAGAAAATTGACTGAAACCTAAAATAGCTATCAAGCACTCTCCTCTTCAATGGTCAGTCGAATATCGTTCTGTCCCTTTTTTATTTTCTAACAATTCTATGTCAGAAATCCATTAAAGTCAGAAGTCCATCAAAGGAAGTAGCACATCTGAAGAGTCAAAATTTGACAAAAATGCTCTTTAAATTTATAATTAGAAGATGTAAAGAAATATTATTTTAGCTAAGTTATTATTTCTTCAAATTAACTGAATTAAAGAAGTCAACAATAGGATAACTGATTGTTAACTTTTGTCATCTACCTTTGAAAATTCGTATCCTTGCTGACATTAAGGCGGAATTCATCTAAATTTTTTCAAATTCGATGACTCAATTAAGCCCGTATTCTTATAACAACATCGCATTTTGCGATATGTAAAAATACAGGCTCTTGGTTGACCAAATTTATCCATCGTAATTGCGAAAATTTAGCAGAATTTCGCCCTAGAAACCCATGGATTTACAAAAAAAATATTTGCTTTCATACGGTAGATTAATGAAGAAGCTAACATAAAACGGATTTTACACTGTGCTGATACTTTACTTAAAAAAAGTTCATTAAAGAAGGAGACGAAAAATAAACTTTCTATTCGATTTTGGGGATCCCTCTGATGCCTGGAGCAACTGCCCCTGCTTTCGTCAGGTTCTGATGACTTCCACTAGTACAAAATACATACGGTCCGAAGTACTGCACTCCTTCACATTATATGCACTTTTAGAGCGCTTTTTCTTCATGCCAAACGATGCCGATCAAATCGGATAACGATATGACCAAACAATTATATCGTTGCCTGATGGTTAGGAAAACACTTATTCATTTTCCCGACATCGTTTGCTGGAGTTCGGGAAAACGAAAGTGCTCTTTACCGTAACGAATTGTGATTTCTTGAAACAAATTTTTTTATTAAAACCATATATAAAAGAATTTAAAGAAGTGAAAAAAAAAATTTTCATGATGATTTTTCAAAACAAACTTTTGAATCTATGTTATTTTGGTGACAGTACAAACTGCAGTAGTCGTGCCATCTACTTTTCTAAAAAATGAGAATAATCATTAACGCGTTTTTACAACAATTTTGAACTTATCAAAAATTTAATGCACTATTTTGCTCATATTCGATAATAAAATTATTAGAATGTTTGTAATTATATTATTTATTTTTTTAAAGAGTGGATAGTAAGTTCAGAAAAGAACAAATACGTGTTAATTTCAACTGGTACTGATTTCTTACTAAAATATAAAACAAAAGAGTAAAAGAAAAGAAAAAAATATCGGTACGATTCGATGGGATACGTGTGCTCTCATTCAACACGTTGTTTCCATAAATGAATTCTTTTTGTTGGAGCCGACATAAACGCTATCGTATCAGTGCGTGGAAAAACGCGCATGCTTCTGCAATGTATTTTACTAGACCCTGTATCGTCAGACGACAAACGGGTTCGTCTTGTATCGGTCGGTATCGTGCCGGTATGGGTCGGTATCATGTCCTGTAAATTTTTTCTCAATACATTACGAAAATGTTCCAGATTTTAATTGGATGTTGCTTACCGTAAAGAATCTGTCGAATATTCCAGTTTTAAATTGGATGTTGCTTACAGTAAAGAATCTGTCGACTATTCCAGCTTTTAATTGGATGCTACTTACAGTAAAGAATCAGTCGAATATTCCAGTATTTAATTGGATGTTGCTTACCGTAAAGAATCTGTCGAATGTGAGTGGGACATGATGAGTCATGAACACCCAGCTGTTCTGCAAATGAAGCACAATGATCTGAGGATAGGTTCTGTCAGCTTCATGTATGTGAAGGATCACTTGCAACTTGCTCTTCTCTCTCTGCTGCACTCCCAAATCAGCGCTCTGAGCATTCCGCTCAACAATCACCAAGCACGCTCCACTCTTGCCTATAATGGTCCTCGGAAACCATGCACTCGCAGGTGGAGTTCCCATTCCCATTTCTGTCAGCAATAGATTTCCTGCAAAAGGAGTAATATTCATTACAGATTCTGAAAAATAAGTTTAGTGGCAAATTTCGGTAATCTACTAATCGCCGGATACTTTGCCTGATGCATGGATGGCCAAACATGAATGCCCCAGTGCGGTAAGTACCCAATAATTTATAAACAATTTTGAAAATAAACAAAAGTAACGACTACTTCAGGAACATTGTCGAAAATCGGTATAACTTTATTCATTTGCCATGGAAAATCATCATCAGCATTGGCACGACAGCCCTTTGTGAGCCTGGGTCTTCCTCAGAGGTTTTTCCCATTCTGCCCTTTTCCCAGCAATTGTTTTCCAGTTCTTTACTTTTAGGATGGCAAAATCCTCATCCACACAGTCCTTCCATCTCTTTTTGGGCCCTCCTCTTGGTCTTTTATTGGAGGGGGTTGCATTAAAGACTCTCAATGCTGTTCGTTCTGGGCTCATTCTGACTGCAAGCCCGGCTCATCTCATTCTACTTAGTTTAATAGATTTAATGATAGCTATGAAAAATAACAACGTCAAATAGCGGAAATGCTTGACCACATTCTCGAAAAATAAAAACTAATTGGAAATGATCAGAAAATCAAAGTGCTTCCCTAATTACTATCGGTCTAAAATGTTACAAACATTGAGTATCTGTGCTACCACAGGCCATTCAGAATCCTGAAATTAATGTGAAATCATTTTGTGAAATTAAGATAATCTTCAAAACCACTTGTCAAGACTTTTAAATTTTTCTAGATTCTGAACACATTGCTAATATCTGGACCAGATAGCTTAGGCGAGGTCATGAAATGTGCTCAACAATTTGTGTTGTCTGCCTTTTTCCAAATATTTTATAATCATGTCGTTGCTCCAAACGAAATTATACGTACCTAATATACACATATTTTTTTAGTGACTTGGAGAACTATCTAAATAAGATTGAATTTGTTGTAAAAAGACTCATTAATGATAATTAGTTTCATTAAGTACTGATAATTTCATAATTATTTAGAACTAAATTTTTCAAATTACTCATTATTATTTTTTACATAACGTAACTCATTAAGACTTGTGAAATGTTTATTAACAATAAACGAAAATTCTATCTGCGTAAATGCGCATTATCAGATTATAAATAATAATTTTTCCATAGTATGCTGTAGACCCACAGTAGACTGATCGTAAGACACGATTACCAGTAAACCACTTAATACAAGCATCAATGGCAGACGTCAGTGAGTTGGTAGGGGCTCAAAGGGTTTGCATGCGGTACTGGTCTTTTTTAAGCTGCTTTACCCTAAATTATTCCACTTCACGAGCGGGTCATTTGGTTACCAAAGCGGGGTAGCTATCCTCCGCGCAGAGCATCAAAATTGTGATGCTATATCTTCGGAAAATCCTCAGGGATGCATTCCGAATTGTCTCCAATAGCTCATTCTGTGTTGCCACTGCCACTAGAGTGATGAAAATCCTAGTCCTAGTGTTCTGATTTTATTGGGCACCTGGGCTGCGAAGCGACCCCTATCCCAATCATCTGGAATTTTAACACTATTTTGGTTGAGCATTGAGGTAACCAGGCAGTGGAGTTGCTTTTATGATGATGAAAATAATCTACTACTGCTACAATAGTATGCCGGCAAATATTGAACTCGCTGGTATTCTATTTTTTAATTCCAAAAATTACCCAGAAAAATTACCAGTAATTACCCAGAATTGTTGATCTACTCTTATTAATGCACAAATAAAAGAATGCATACCTCCAGGAATTTTGATCAACTTGTATGGTGTTTGACCTCTGTTCTTAAAATTGCAATTCGGATCCTCATCAATGAAAGAGCAGTAGAATCTTAATGGAGCCATCGGAAGATATATAGCTGGAGCAAAATATAAGCCTAATAAAAAAATATCAAAGAAAAATAAAAACAAATAATATTAATTATAAAATTATAAAGAATACTACATTTCTGTAACCTCGATATTAGGCACAAAGAAGTGCTCAGGCTGAGAGTACTGCTTTTTCTCTAGAACCAAGTGCAAAATTTTCCCTATTGTGTTCAACGTAACTCAAAAAGCTTCTACTATTTTTTGAAACTCTTCAACCCCTTTTGGCACAATGCTGCCAGTCTGGCATCAGTTATTTTTAAAATATTTCAAATCACTAAAAATATAAGACCATTCGCTTCTAAATGTAAACTATTTTTTACCAGCCACTACTTTTCAAATAATATAGAGTTCAGATATGTCTGTTTACTAGAAACTTACCTACGATGACTTATCTACTGTGACTGTTAAATTTTTACCAGTCAAAATTTTGTTGAGGCCAAAAAGGAGAAAATGGGGTCGTTGCGCCTTCGTTTCTTTGATAATTGAAAACAGAAAAGATTATCGTGAAAACTATGACTAAGAGATTGGGTAGTTTGGAAATTAATTTTTTTTTATGAAAATGTTTTTTTTATGAAAATACAAATGTTCTAATGAATCATATATTACCTATTCTGACTCACTACTTTCTTTGGTAGTAACATGATTTGAAGCTTACAGGAGGTTTTGCTCTCAAAAAGTTAATCCAGCTGATTTTTGACCTCCTCACTAGGAGTGTTTTATCGTCAAATAAAATTTTGCAGAGAAAAGAACATTGTTATAGACTACCAATTTCTCATTCTGAATGATGATTCGCTTTGAAAATGGATCATTTTCTATGACATTTAAAAATCAAATCACAGACAGAGCCGCGGTTTGTGTCAATTGATGTGCTTAACTGGCGTCATGCATCACCGTACATATTAAGGCTGTTTTACGAAGGTTCTATTGTGATGTGAAATTATGCTTTTCTGTAAATAACATGCTATTTTTATAACTGCTGTGAATTTGCAACTGTTACTCATGACTGTGATTCCAAGTTACCTGTCTAAAGCCAGCGTTTTTTTAGGAATATGGCTCAAAACGTCAATATGGGAAAAAGCCACAGTTTAGTGACAATGAAAGCGTTTGTGGTTTTATTTTTTAATATTTAAAAAACTAGGCCATTGCTGCATTACATGGGCTCGGCTCATAAAAATTTGCGAAAACAGAGAATGAAGCAGTGATTTTGATAATTTTCATTTAGGTGGAAAAATGTCGCCTAATTATCGATTTTTAAAAAATGTTTAATGACTTAAGAAATATTTAAGTTATTTGTCTGTTATAAAGTTCAGATAATTCTTCTCGACAAAATTATATAGACGGTTTAAAAACATCGCATTGCTTCAAGTGCAAGGCATTTAAGCTATTGCTTTTTTATTTTCCTTGGCGACAGATATTCGAAAAATAGTATTAATAGAAATTTTGAAAACTGGTTTTGACATTGGTGGGCTACAAATACCTGTTCTCCACACACACCGGATAATTTGTTTTGAACAGAGGTTTTACCTTTTTGATAGAGAAAATGTAAAATATACCGGAATTTCCACTTTTTACTTTCCAAATTCGAAAGGCCCCAACCAAAAACTGCTGCAAAGAAACAACGGAACTTTTTCTCAAACAAGCCTTGCTATATCAGCTGTCAAAATATATAATGATTCTGCTGCATAAGTATAAGGTTGGGTGTAAAAGAATATAATTAAATCTGAACAACCTGATCTATAATGCAAAGAATATGTCTAAAAATATTTACGGCAGAGTCCAGCATATGTTCCCGGTTCGGTTGGATCAGTATCACAGCATGAGTTGACTGGACATTCAGTGCAGGGTGTTCCAGGCTTGTATAACCTCGGATATAAATGTTCAGGTCTAAAAAGAAAATGTTTTTTTTTTTTTTAGTTTGGCGAAATTGTCATAGGGCATACAGCTTGTTATAAGTGCACACCAGGAAAGATGTACTTATTGCTATATCACACGAGAGAAAATAAGTGCAACTGTAAGTGTAATTTCTCCAAAAATTGCTCGAAAAATCCTCGTGTGATATAGAAATCACGGTTGCACGAAATATCTGCAACCGTTCAGGCAATTTCTTACGTAAACCAATCAGATCGTTTGTTTTTTATGACGTTTCAATTTTATGTGATGACATATACAAATGTAAATAAAAATGGCGGCGACGTTAGGAAGAGGATGATCGGATGAAATTTTTTTATAGATGAGACGGAACAGTTTTTTAGTTTAATAATAGCATTTCCTTTAAAATAAAAGCATTAAAAATACTTTCGCACTATGAGATGACCATCTCAATGCAGTTGATGTACTACCATAACAAGAGCCTGCACACGATTTTAGTATCGGTGAGTATAGTACACTATTTTCTAGATAAATTTTCTTTTAAAATATTTATTTATTTTAAGCTAATAAAATTAAAACTTATTATAATTTGTTCCGATCAAAGTTTTAATTACTTTAAATAGAAATAATTTCTATTTTTATATATGTAAAGA